TCCCGGGTTCAGGCAATTCTCCTGCCTCAGCCTCCTGAGTAGCTGGGATTACAGGCACGCACCACCATGCCCAGCTAATGTTTTGTATTTTTAGTAGAGACGGGGTTTCACCACGTTGACCAGGATGGTCTCGATCTCTTGACCTCGTGATCCGCCCGCCTCGGCCTCCCAAAGTGCTGGGATTACAGGTGTAAGCCACCGCGCCCGGCCCACAAGTACTGTTCTTAATATTAGGTCAGTGAGGCCTGAATGAAACAACATAGGTAAAGGTGTTAGCATAGTCCTTGGCACACTAATGCTCAGTAAATGCCAGCTGTGGTCTTCTCATTCTCAAAGCCACATGTGACCCACATGATTGACAACATTCACATGTGTAACTTGTTCTTGAGGGGATACACCCAGATTGATAGAGCGCTCCCTTCTATCTTGAGGCTAATCATGGAATTATATCATGCTTGTAATAATAAGTCTTAATGGTACATATTAATAACAGTTACTAGCAATAACATGGAGTAAATAAGATAGGCTGTGAGTTGGATGTAATTATTTGTGCTCCATGTCTCCATTCTCACCTGCCCTTTCTCTCACCAAAAAAGCATACCAGAAAGCAAGTGAATGAATAAAATCATAGTGATAACCTCAACTTGCTTTAACTTATTAAAAAATCAATTAATGTGTAAGCTCTGATATTTTAATTATTGGTAACATTACTTAATATATCTCCCAACCTATCATGACAAAGTTTGTGGTAGACTCCATAGCTAAGAATTACTTACTGCTCCACAGAATGCACTTTAAAAAGGAAAATCTGGGCTGGGCGCGGTGGCTTACGCCTGTAATCCCAGCACTTTGGGAGGCTGAGGTGGGCAGATCACAAGGTCAGGAATTCGAGAACAGCCTGACCAACATGGTGAATATAAAAGTTAGCCAGGTGTGGTGGCGTGCATCTGTAATTCCAGCTACTCAGGAGGCAGAGGCAGGAAAATCACTCGAACCTGAGAGGCGGAGGTTGCAGTGAGCTAAGATCATGCTACTGCATTCCAGCCTGGGCAACAGAACAAGACTCAAAAAAAGGAAAATCTGCCAGGCGTGGTGGCTCATGCCTGTAATCTTAGCACTTTGGGAGGCTGAGGCGGGCGGATGACGAGGTCAAGAGATCCAGACCATCCTGGTCAACATGGTGAAACTCCGTCACTACTAAAAATACAAAAATTAGCCGGGCATGGTGGTGCGTGCCTGCAGTCCCAGCTACTTTGCTACTTTGGAGGCTGAGGCAGGAGAATCACTTGAACCCAGGAGGCAGAGGATGCAGTGAGCTGAGACTGCGCCACTGCACTCCAGCCTGGTGACAGAGCGAGACTCCATCTCAAAAAAAAAAAAAAAAAAAAATAAACAAAAAAAAAAAAAAAAAAAAAAAGTTTAAACATCTGAAATCTCAAACAAACTAATTGTAAAACCAAATGTAGGAGAAACTGGGAAAATGTGAACATTTGCTCTTTTATGATAATGAAGAATTATCAATTCTTAAGGTACAGTAATAGCACTGTGGTTATGTGTTTTATAGGGCCATTTTCCTTTAGAGATACATTTGAGGTAATTGCAGATAAAATGATATGATGTCTTAGACTGGCGGCAACAGAATCTGGTGGCGATCCAGGGGAGTGGGTAAGAGTGTAGATGAAAATCATTAGCCATGAGTTGATAATTGCTGGAACCAGGCATGGAAGTTAATCATACTAATCTCACCATCTTTGCATATGCTTTGAAAAGGAGACAATAACAATGTCAGAAAAAACCCTGAAGTATGAAATATGTCTTTTGAGTCCTACTCAGACGTTGCGTGCCTACAGACAAAGCAAAACTCTGTTGCAAGAGTAATTATCACTCTATTCACAGACTTTCGTAACATGTGGGATATCAACAAGACGGTTTGAAACTGATACAGGAAGTCTGCATCCGAATCTCCATCTGAACAAGATAAAACCAAAGAACTTAAAGGCAAATCGGAAATGCTTTAGAAACAAACACTGTGGCTCCTTATAAATAAAAGACGGCAGTCTCTGAAAAAAAGCCAGAAGGCCTTGTCAGCGGAAAATATTCAAAGATATCACACAAATATATCTTCTCACTAGTCCCCAGCTAGGGTAGAGTCAGGAAAAGTTTTTTTCTAGAAAATTTTACAGGGAAAAAAACCATACTTGTGACATAATGATATTGCCAACATCCTTTGATCTTAAATTTCTGCTTTAAAAGGATCATATAGTATCCCTTCTTGAACTTTCCATGACTAAATTTTTAGTTTTTTAGGTGGATAGGTTTTAATGTTTTGAATATTTCATTTTTGCTTATTTTATCTGCTACTTTCGATCAAAATGAGAATGTGTATTTTTCTAAGTCAACCTTTAATGCTATTCTAAAACATTTTTTGTAAGTTATTAAATATTTGGGTTTCCTGTTTTACATTTTTTAAATACCTTTTTGTAAAATACTAATACTGATTTCAGCATTATATGATATGCATATTATTGGCCCTGGTGATCTTACCCCAGCATGGAATAACTATTTCCACGCATTGTCAGAGCTGTGAGGGATTGCTGGGCGCCTCTCTGGATGGACATCAGAACCACCCAGAAAGTTAAAAAATACTAATGCCCAGGGCCAACCACAGCTCATTTATATCTGGCTCACCAAGGATCAGGGGAGGTGAAGTGGGATCCATGTTAGTGACCGTAAAGCTGAGAGTTGAGACCACTGAGATTCTGGTCTCAGGTAAGAGAAGCAGAGCCCACCTGGAGCCAGTCTGCTGCCGAGCCCTGTAGAGCCAAACACCAGCCTGGGCTCTTTCTGGCTCTACGCTATCCAGCTAATTGGCCTCCAGGATGGGTACAGCAGGCAGGTACCATCCCGTACCCAGGGTGGGTACAGCACCCTTCACCAAGGCTGGGAAAGGGTGAAGCCCCGGCCAGGCTGATGGAAGGTGACTCCAGGCCCAGACTGTTGGGTTCCCCTCACCCCAACAGGGAAGCCTCTGGCTGCTGGGGAAGGTGAGATCCTATCTCCACCCAGCTCTCAAGCTTCTAATCTGATCAGGAACTTGAAGTCTGAGATAAGGCTGCCAGCCTGTGAAAGCCAGCCCAGACAGCAGAGGGAGGAAAGGAGGGAGACCCAGAGAGGACTTGGGGTGAGGGTGAGTGCTTTCACATGTCTAGGAGCAGCAGGCTGTGAACCTGGAGGAGGCCATGAAGCCCCTGAGAGCAGAACCAAGACCCCCAGACAAGAACTTCTAGGAGACAGGCTTCAGCTCAGTCTACAGAGACAAGGCACTGCTTCCACCCCCACGAGGATGAATGCTCCATGGGCACTGAGTCCCCACTCCAAAAATGTCCAGGTTGAGTCTAAGGTTCTAACCCTGGGAAGTGGTGAGGCCCCATTAAAGCTAGGGTGAAGACAGGAACCTAAAATCCTCTCTGGCAGGAAGTCCCAAGCCCAGTTGTGTATCCAAATAACCTAGGGGCTTGTCAGAACCCAGAGCCGCCAAAGTGGGCCTATCTCAAGCCTTCCAAATCAGTGTCCCTTGGGGTGCTGCCTGGTGATCCCCCTGTTATCAAGCTCCAGTGGTGAGTCCCATGCTTGGCCCAGGGAGGGAACAGCTGCCCTGAGCTGTGCCCATTCAGGTCACATGGCCTAGAGTCCATGTGGGAGATAAGACCCTCACAACCAAAAGCAAGCAGTACAAGGAGCTGGGGACCCACAGAGCAGTCTCCCTTATCCATGGCTTCACTTTCTGCAGTCAGCCACCTGCAGTCAACGGTAGTCCAAAAATAGGCATGTATAATGCAATAGGATATTTTGAGAGAGTAAGAGACCACATTCATATCATATTTTTTTTTGAGATGGAGTCTGGCTCTGTCGCCCAGGCTGGAGTGCAGTAGCATGATCTCGGCTCACTGAAGCCTCCACCTCCTGGATTCAAGTGATTCTCCTGCTTCAGCCTTCCAAGTAGCTGGGATTACAGGTGCTTGCTAGTGTGCCCCCACTAATTTTTGTATGTTTAATAGAGACAGAGTTTCCCCGTGTTAGCCATGGTTGGCCAGGCTTGTCTCGATCTCCCGACCTCACGTGATCCGCCTACCTTGGCCTCCCAAAGTCCTGGGATTACAGATGTGAGTCACTGCACCCGGCCCTGGCTAGTTTTAATTTTTTTTTTTTTTTAGAAATGGGGTCTCACTATGTTACTCAGGCTAGTCTTAAACTCCTAGGCTGAAGTGACCCTCCCACCTTGGCCTCCCAAAGTGCTGGGATGACAGGCATGAGCCACCAGTCTTCTTTACAAAATTCTACCTTTTCGTATGGCTAAACACAAATGTCACTTGCTCTATAATGCTTTCTAGGGCAAAATTAGCTTCCACTCTTCTGGGTTCCACTGCAAGGGTATCTATCATTTTATTTGTAAACTCCAGTTAGATGCCAGTATCCTGGTTTCCATTGGGTCAAGACAGAGTGAGTCTGTCTTGGTCATGGCTGTGCCCATGTGCCCAGCCCAGGATCACTGTGCAGTGTTCAGTGTTCCGGTTCAGGGAATGAAGGTTTGCTGAGCCACTGAATGACTTCTGCTGTCCTCTGCACTCTGAGCCCTAGAGGCAGGGTCTGGCCCGGTTGACTGCCATCTTCCACCCAGTGATTTCCAGGCTGTGTTCATAAAAACTGCACTTTGGTGCCAAAATTATATATCTGTTTGGTCCAAAGATTTTTTTTTTTTTAAGACAGAGTTTCACTCTTGTCACCCAGGCTGGAGTGCAATGGCACAATCTCCAGTCACTGTAACCTCCACCTCCTGAATTAAAGTGATTCTCCAGTCTCAGCTTCCCGAGTAGCTGGGATTACAGGTGCCCACCACCACACCCAGCTAATTTTTGTATTTTTAGTAGAGACAGGATTACAGGATTTCACCATGTTGGCCAGGCTGGTCTTGAACTCCTGACCAACAGTGATCCACCTGCCTCAGCCTCCCAAAGTGCTGGGATTATAGGCATGAGCCACTGCACCCAGCCAAAAGATATTTATTTTAAAAGTTTAGGGCC